ACCTTATCGAATATCCAAAAGAATTGACAATGTAGCTTATGAGTTGGAGCTACCACAAGAGTTAGTCGTGGTTCATCCGGTATTTTACATCTCCATGTTGAAGAAGTCCATGGGCGATCCTTCATTGATCATACCAACTGAAAATATTGGGATCAAGGATAGCTTATCTTATGAGGAGATTCCTGTTCAGGTTCTAGATCGCCATGTTCGCAAGTTGAGAACAAAAGAGGTAGCATCAGTCAAAGTTCTTTCGAGGAACCAATTTGTTGAGGAAACTACTTGGGAAGCTGAAGAGGATATGAAGAAGAGATATCCACATCTATTTGAGTCCGAAGAAAATGCAGACCAAGGTACTAATTCTCTTCTTAGTACTCTTTAAATTATGAGTGAGCATGTTGTTTGTTTGCATTTGCTTGTTGGGTGTTTGAACTTGATGTTACATCCTTAGCCTAGTAAGAGAAATCTCATTCGAGGATGAATGTTTCCAAGGGGGACATATTGTAACATCTCGCAATTTGAAATAACGAGGAAGAAGCTAATAATTGGAAATAGTCATTTTTGGAAAGAATGAAAATCTGGAAAATTTGTTCAAGTTAGGAAAAGTTGAGTTTTGGTTAACTTCAAACGGCCATAACTTCTAGCTCAGGATGAGTTAGGTGTGTTTCAAGATATGGTTGGAAATATCTTGGAATAATGTTTCCAACTCCACTGATTTTGTTTGATTCCAAGTTCGTATGAGTGAGTTATTTCCTTTGGAAGTTGTACTATTTGAATAAGGAGAGTCTAATCCGGATTTTGGAAAGGTAATTTAGTCTTTTCCTTACCTAATTATTCTAATTCGTTTTTAGGAGTTAATTGGGGTAAAATCAGATTTTAGTTGGTTTAGAAAAGTTGAAGTTTCATGCTAGGGCTTGGAGAAAAGAGAAAAGAGAAAAGAGGAGAAGGGAGACAAGAAATCAAGATTTGTCAAAATCGTTGAGTTTAGCTTGTGGATTTCGTCAAGGGGTGATCCATACGAGGTATGTGACATTACATAACGTTGGGTTAGTTCTCCCACGCGCCAAACATAATTCAATTCAGTGAATTTAAGTCTTTGAAAGTTTAGAAATTGAGTTCTTGATGAACATTGTTGAAAGTTTTGTTGAATTTCTTGTGGGTTGTGCTGTTGGAGTTTCTTGCGATTTGATTCATGTTTTCAGGTGTAATTTTGGTTTTAATCTATCATATATTGAGGGTATAAATGATTCTAAGTGTTTGGGGAAGGTACCGTTGAAGTTTAGAGGGTTTAGAGATGAAAAACTGAGAAGATAAGTCGTCAAACACCTGGGGATGAGAGTGGGGAGTCACGCCAGCCAGCGCGCCCCAAAAGGGTCTCTGAATCTTCACCCTTGGGGAGCCGCGCCAGGAAGTGCTCCCCATACCAGTCCCTGAATGTTAAGGGCTGGCGCCCTGCGCCTCTCAGAGTGCCAGGGACGCCAGTTCTCCCTATTCGTTCCCCACCTTTTCGTACTTGTTCCCCACCTTTTCACACTTGTTCCTTAGCAATGTACATATATTTTCTAGTTGATTCCAACACTCTATGGTACATATAAACATCATAAAATCATCCATAAACATAAGATCATGAACATTGAATTCATAATCCAATTCAAGGAAAGTTAGGATCAAATCAAGAGAAGTTGAAAGTCAAATCTATAAGTTAAGAAGCAAGTCAAAACAAAGTTTTTAAAGTTTACAAAAGTCTTTAACAAACGTTTTAACTTTGTTTTAAGACTTAAGTTTCAAGTTAAGCAAAGAGTAAAGAGTTGAGTTCATTTCTCAAAAAGCTATAAGGGAACTAAATATACCCCAAAGAGTTTATAAATGTTTTCACATTTGAGCAAGAAAAGGGAACATCGATTCCAAGAGAGCTTTTAAGCTAAGTTTTGAGTAATTATCTCAAAACAAATAGATAAGTTTGTTTTTAAAATATATGAGCTAAGTATATTTTTGGGAGTAGTATTGAGCATCGATATGGGGATGCGAGTTCATATTAACTCAAGTCTCCATAAACCATGTAGCCATCATGGGTATTAAAAGATCATACTTTTTAAATGATTCCTTAAGATGTTTTTAGCATAAGCTAGTGGATCCACTAAGTTAAGTGTTCTATATGACGACAAAGCATAATCAGTTCTAGTAGCGTGGGAAAGACGTTGTGTTGCGGTCTAATCGCACACGCAAGTGCACGAGATCGTACAAGTAATAAAATGTCTCTTTTCGAGAGCAGGGTATCGTACCCACATGGACTCACACTCAGAAACTATCACTTTCTCTAGTTCTCAATTAACCACAAGTGTATTTCCAGATCTAAAGGGTTGTTTATTTCTATTTCTAAATTTTAAAACAAAATGTAAATACAAGATTCAGTTTCACGGGTTTTAAACAATGATTTGGGAAAGATCCAGGGCTGCAGCTTCTATCAGGATTCATGCAATCAATATCATTTATATGGGTAATTATTAACTGTCGAATAAATGAATTACAGGGTTAGATGTATGATCATGGTCTCCCGACCTCTAATCGTCTACGATAGATAACACCCTAACTACATCGTTGAGTGGGGATAGACTGATTACCTACCTATGAACTGAGTTATTGATGAAGTGCTTACCTCCATCACTGATTATCGCGCGTTCCAAACCTGGTGAAGATGTGCTTTCGAATGAACTTGACAACCACTTTGGCATCATTTGTTGGCAATGCAACTGCCTCCACCCACTTAGACATGTAGTCCACAACGACTAAAATGTATTGATTACCCCGGGATGATGGGAATGGTCCCATAAAGTCTATCCCCCACACATGAAAGATCTCCACCTTTAGTATGTTGTTCAATGGAATCTCATGCCTCTTCGAAATGGTGCCCATCCTTTGACATTGATCGCAACCTTTCACAAACAAAGCAACATCTTTAAACAGAGTAGGCCAAAAGAAACCAGATTGCAATACCTTATGCGTAGTTCTTTTGCCTCCATGATGTCCACCATATGGTGACGCATGGCAACTCTCCAACACTTGTGTCTCCTAGTGCTCAGCTATACACCTTCTAATCATCTGATCCGGACCCTGTTTGAACAAATAGGGCTCATTCATTATATAAAAGTAGGAATCATACTTTAACCTCTGCTTCTGATGTGTTGGTGCCCCAGGTGGAAATAAACCACTCACCGTAAAATTCACAATGTCTGCATACCAAGGCACCTGAGAAATGTCCAAAGCAAGCAACTGCTCATCAGGAAACTCTCACGAATCTGCCTTTCATTTTTCACATGAGACGAATCCTCTAGGGGGGACAAATGATCAGCTATTTGGTTCTCAGTTCCCCTTCTATCTCTTATTTCGAGGTCAAACTCTTCCAGCAACAAGATCCACCTAATCAGCCTAGGTTTTGCATCCTTCTTGTTGAACAAGTACCGAATGTCCGCATGATCAGTGTAGACTATCACTTTGGTTCCCACCAAGTATGACCTGAACTTGTCGAATGCAAACACCAATGCCAACATCTCCTTCTCAGTAACTGTGTAGTTCGATTGCGCTGCGTCAAGTGTTTTGCTCGCATAGTAGATGAAGTGAAACACCTTGTCCTTTTCTCTGCCCAAGCACTACCCCAACTGCTATATCACTAGCATCACACATCAGCTCGAAGGAAAGCTCCCAATTTGTAGCAATAAAAATATGAGCCTCGATCAACTTCGGTTTCAACATCTCAAAAGCCTGCAAACATTTTTCATCAAACACAAATTTCATCTCTTTCTCTAATAAGCTGCACATAGGTCTTGCAGTTTTAGAGAAGTCTTTGATGAACCTCCTGTAAAAACCAGCATGTCGAAGGAAGCTTCGCACTCCCTTTACTGATATTGGTGGTGGCAACTTCTCAATCACTTCCACCTTCGCTTTGTCTACTTCTACCCTACTCTTAGAGATCTTGTGCCCCAACACAATTCCTTTTCTAACCAGAAAGTGACACTTCTCCCAGTTCAGCACCAGATTGGTCTCCTCACACCTAGCAAGAACTCTATTAAGATTAGATAAACAAAGTTTGAACGACTCACCAAACACCGAGAAATCGTCCATGAATACTTCAACAAAATCTTCCACCATATCATGGAAGCCGAATGACATGCGTTTGAACGCATACGTGCCATATGGGCAAGTGAATGTCGTCTTTTCTTGATCCTCAGATGCAATGACGATCTGATTATACCCTGAATAACCATCAAGGAAACAGTAATACTCTTGGCCAGCCAACCTATCTAACATTTGATCAATGAACGGTACCGGATAGTGGTCCTTCCTAGTGGCTTCATTGAGTTTTATGTAGTCCATGCATATCCTCCACCCAGTTACTGTTCTTGTAAGGATCAACTCATTTTTCTCATTGGTCACAACTGTCATTCCTCCCTTCTTAGGCACACACTATACTGGACTTACCCATTTACTGTCAGATATTGGGTACACAATCCTTGCATCCAGCCATTTGATGAGTTCTTTTCTGACAACATCCTTCATCAATGGATTTAGTCTCCGCTGATGCTGTGCACTTGTCTTGTGCCCTTCATCCATGTATATTTTGTGCATACACAGTGCATGACTAATGCCATGGATGTCAGACATTTGCCATCCCAGAGTTTCTTTCCTCTTCTTCAAAATGAGTAGTGAGGCTTCCACCTGTTCGTCAGATAATGCTGCAAACAAAATAATCGATAAAGTTTCATCTTCACCCAAAAAAACTTACATGGGTGGGCTGGCAGTGTTTTCAACTCCAACTTGGGGGCTTCTTCAATGGAGGGTTTAGGTGGAGGACCCAACGCCCTATTCAGAGGCTCCCAGCGCTCTCCAGCAGTAACCATAAGAGACACATCAAGGAATTGCACCATTTCATATGCCTCAGTATCCCCATGTATGTCATCACCCACTAACACTTGCTCTAGAGGATCCTTAGCTGTAATATATTTAGCTTATGCCTCAAGATCTATCACGGTTATGACAGACAACTCCTCATACACAACTGACAATTTTAAGGCTGTGTATACATCAAACACCTCCACTTTATCATGAGCTCTCATAGTAAGCTGCCCAACTGCTACATCTATCATTGCCCTACCAGTCGCTAAGAAAGGTCGTCCTAAGATGAAAGGGATCTCAGGATCAGGCTCGAAATTCAATACTACAAAGTCTACTGGGAAAATTAGAGATCCCACTTGTACTAACACATCTTTCACAACACCCTCAGGTCTAGCTACATATCTATCCGCCAACTGCAAAATTATGGTAGTTGGTTTAGGACTACCCAACCCCAACTTTTTGTACAGAGAAGTTGGCATCAAGTTTATACTCGCTCCTAGATCACACAACCCTCGAGCATGGATGCTTTCCCCTATAGTAATCTGCACGGTAAAACTACCCAGATCTGTTAGTTTAATGGGCAACTTGTTCTAAATTCTGGAGCTGCACTCTTCAGTAAGTGCCACAGTCTCACACTCTGTCAGCCTCCTTTTGTTTGCTATGATCTCTTTCACATACTTAACATACCTGGGTATATACCCTGCAAAACATCCACCAATGGCAAGTTAATGTGGACTTGTTTCAGGAGAGAGAAAAACTTACCAAAACATTCGTCCTCCTTTTGTTTCTTAAACTTTTGAGGAAATGGAGGGGGTGGTCTCACTATTGGTTGCACACTTTCTTCCAGTGAAACTACTTCATTCTCCTTAAGCTCACCTTCTTTAGGTTCAGTCTCTGTGTTTATAACTTCAGTGTTTCTTTTCTTAGGAGTTAACTCCTCCAATTGCAAACCACTGCATGTGCTTACTGCATTCACCTGTTTAGGATTTGGGTCAGTGTTTCCAGGTAAACCTCCTTGCGGTCGTGAATTTTGGGCACTAGTAAACTGCCCAAATTGCTTCTCCAAATTCTGTGTAGCTAACTGATTATTCCTCACATTAGCAGCTAACTGGGCTTGATCAACCATAATCTTTTTCAGCATCTCCTTCACACTCATGTTTTTGCTTTGCTGCTTGGGTCGCTCTCTTTGTGCCTGTGGTTGATAACCATTGGCATTGTCTTGTGGCCTATAATGGTTTTGCCCTTGGCCCTGGTTCTGATTTCCACCCCAAGAAAAGTTTGGGTGGTTACGCTAACTTAGGTTATAAGAATTTCCATAGTTTTGTTGGGCTCTTCCTCTCTGGCATTCCCTACAAAATTAACAGAATCTGGGTTTGCACCACATACCTCTGCACAGTGATCGCTACCTCCTGAGATCTCACACCAAGATGGTGGTTGTTGAACTATATTTACCTGCACATGTTGTTGTCCCAATGCCATGTTGCTGAAATGTGTACTCATCATATTCTGCATAGTAGAAATCTGTGCAGTTAGAGCTGTCATTGCATCTACTTCCAGCATACCTGCAGTTTTCTGTACTACATGTTTCATTCGCCCTCTGTTCCACTCCGAATTACCCTGAGAGATCCGATTTAGCAAGGTGAACAGTTCTGCATAAGTCTTCTCTAAGGCCTGTCCACCTGCAGTTGAATCAAGGAAAATCTTGGTGTTAGGCTCCAACCCTTCAATGAAGGCATGGACTAACACTTCATTAGATTGATGATGATGAGGGCAGCTCATCAACATCGATTAAAACCTGTCCCAAGCTTAGTATAAGTTCTCACCACTCTTCTGCCTAAAACTCAGAATATCACCCCTCAGCTTAGCTGTTTTACCATATGGAAAGAATCTAATGAGGAATTTCTGTACCAAATCGTCCCAGGTGGTAATTGAATTTGCAGGCTCTGAGTTCAACCATCTTTTTGCTTCCCCAAGCAGAGAGAAAGGGAATAAGGTGAGCCTCACGTAATATTTATTCACCCCAGTTGGAGTGTAAGTATCACTGATCTTGAGGAAGTTCTGAATGTGAGTTGTGGGATCCTCATGTGAAAGACCAGTAAACTGCCAATTCGTGTGCAAAATTTGCACCATACTCTGCTTCAGCTCAAATCTCCCACCAGGTTCAGGTTTCTGTATGCACGAAGTCATATTAGTGGGGCGTGAGATTGCCACGTCTCGTACTTTCAACTCAGTAACCATTGTCTCAAGTTCTTCTTCTTCTATTTTTGGTCTCGGAAATTCTAGATCACCTATAACTAGGGGAACTGGATATGTTAATCGTCTCTGCCTTCTATGTAAGTGTACGAATCATTCAGGTTCTAAGAGAGGCGATAACAATCCTTGATTGTCGTCCAGTTTGGAGTTTCAAAACAACCTGCAACAATGGAATGCTAAGATCAAGATGTCAACACTTGCGTTTCAACTTCAGTAATTAGAAAAATTCAAATACTTTCTAATTCTAAAGTCCCCAGCAGCGGCGCCAAAAACTTGTTGCGGTCTAATCGCACACGCAAGTGCACATGATCGTACGAGTAATAAAGTGGCTCTTTTCAAGAGCCAATTATCGTACCCACAGGGACTCACACTTAGAAACTATCAATTTCCCTAGTTCTCAGTTAACCACAAATGTATTTCCAGATTTAAAGGGTTGTTTATTTCTATTTCTAAATTTTAAAACAAAATGTAAATACAAGATTCAGTTTCACGGGTTTCAAACAATGATTTGGGAAAGATCCAGGGCTGTAGCTTCTATCAAGATTCATGCAATCAATATCATTTATATGGGTAATTATTAACTGTCGAATCAATGAATTACAGGGTTAGATGTATGATCATTGTCTCCCGACCTCTAATCGCCTACAATAGATAACACCCTAACTACATCATTGAGCGGGAATAGACTGATTACCTACCGAGCATTAAGTTATCTTCCTGTATGGTGATCCAACTCTAGGTATATCCCTATCCTAGAAACGAATCAACCCTAGCTATTTAGAGTTCAACAAGCTCCTTATGCCCCACGTTCTATCCTCTTATTCCTCTCCCGAGTTCAATTTGGACAATAAATTTATTTCTATGGTGATCAATCATGAAATATAGAAAATAAGAACACAAGAAAGATTCATGTGATGGTCAATAATAAACCCAACAAAACTCAATCAATTGCAATCATCCTATAGCCACAACCCTAGAACTAGAGTATTAAGATACTCATAGTCCAACATTCAATCATACAATGGTTATGAATCATCAAACGATTGAAAGGAAAAGAGTTTAAGAAATAACCCTAAAACTGAAGAAAAACGTTCTTCCAAATTGTCATTCTTTAAAACCTAGAAAAAGATCCTTAATAAAATAAAATAAAACCCTATTTATACTAAAAGTCGAAACGGCCAAATCTGGTACTCAGGTGCGCGACTCGTGATGACTTCCAAATTTTGAGTCCACGATACTTTTGACTTCTGCGTGACGCGTGAGCAGCACGAGGTGTTCTGCCTAGAAGTTGATTTTTGCAACCCACATTCTGCATTCAACCGCACGACGCGGAGAGAACACATAAATGCCTTGGTGCATTTTCTTCAGCTTCTTCTTTGTTCTCTTTTGGCTCGAATCTTCAGATTTCTTCCTTTATCCCTTTTTGTGCTCGTTTCTCCCATTAAGCATACCTACACAACTAATCATGTTGGTTAGCTCATAAATAAACAAATGACTTGATAAGACTACAAACAGATATATTTTGAATTCAAACTAGGCGTAAATGTGGGCATAATTAGCATTCTAGGCATATAAATATGCCTAAGATCATGTTGTATCACCACTTAGGCTCATAGTGGTGGTTGTCGGTTAGAGAATCTCCCACAAAAACTATATTACCTTATTATATGAGTAAAGTTGAGTTTGTTATTGCTTTTCTTTAACGAACTAAGTTGTTTTTACTGTTTTACGAATCTTTTCATATATTACATGTGTTTCATTGCTTTATTTTGAGTTAAGTATTCATGAGTTGAGAAAAGCCAAGGTAAGTGTTTCTTTCAGAATCTTTTCAAGCCTTTGTATTGTTTAACATTCCAACTCGCATACTCGTACATTCAATGTACTGATGCCAATTGGCCTGCATCGTCTTATGATGCAGACACAGGTAACGAGGATCAGCATCCAGCGCCTCGTTGATCAGGTTTAGCACTCAGAGTCAGTTGGTGAGCCTCATTGCATTCCGAAGGACTCTTTTATCATTTGCTTTCTAGTTTTCAGTTGCTAGGATGATCGGGGGTCCTGTCCCGACATCCCTCTTTGTTTTAGAGGCTTCATAGACAGATAGTATTAGTTCTTTAGTCTTATTCATTTTAGTCGTATACATTTAAGACCTGAGTTGCCATTTTTGTCTAAGTTATTATCTTTTAAGTTATTGCATGAGTTATATCTCTTGTGTTTAAGTCTTCCGTTGAGTAAGTAAGCCAGGCCAAGGGTTCGCTTGGGGCCAACAATAGTTCTCGAGTGCCGGCCATGTCCAGGTGTAGGCTTGGGGAGTGACAAACATCTTCACTCATGACTTGAGAAACATTGAGAACAAATAAGCCATTATTACAATATCCTTTACCCGCAAACACATTATTCTTGGTTATCATTACCTTACTAGATTCAAATGCAACTTTCACCCCACCTTTTCTAATAATCCAACGGAAACGAGATTGGTTCGAATACTAGGAACATGCAGCACTTCAGTCAATGCCAAGGTTTTTTCAGATGTGAATTTGAGAAGAATTTTTCCTTTTCCAAGGACTTGAGTGGTTGAAGAATCACCAAGATACACAACTTCTTCTCCTTCATTGACTTGGGTGTAAGACAAAAAATCTGTTTTATTTGCACAAATATGCCTAGTAGCACCTGAATCTCTCACCCAGTCACTCACATTGGCCACAAGGTTAGCTTGGGAAATGACCTTCACTATGATATCATCTGCTTTAGCCAAATTTACTCTTGGCTTAACAGGATTGTCATTTTTCCCAGCTTTGTTTCTACATTGAACTGCATGGTGTCCTGGTTTGCCACATACAAAACAATTACCTTTTTTCTTGAAATTTTGATTGTTGACCCTGAGTTTATAATCAAGTTCTTTTTCATACCTGTTATCTTTATTGCGAGACTTATTGTCTTCCACTAGATTGACTTTTGTAGCGATTTCTTTTGCTTTGGCAAAATATGATTGCTTTCGGTTGGTATCCTTAATGATGATGCATTTTACCAAATCTTCAAGAGATAATAGCTTTTGTTTGTGCTTCAAATTTTGTTTATAGTCATTCCAAGATTCTAATAGTTTTTCAATCAATATACCAGCCACGAACTACTCCGATAAAATGATTTTCTCCGACTTAAGATCTTCAACTAGTTTGTGAAACTCGTTGATTTGTACCTTTACATCTTTCTCCTCAGTCATCTCCTATTTGTAAAAATTACCAATAACAAACTTTTGTTTGGTAGAATCTTCAACAACATATTTAGCAAGTAGCGATTTTCAAATCTCCTTTGCTTCCTTATTAGAACAATACACATTGAATAATTCATTAGAAAGAGTACTTAATATTGTGTGCTTACATACCTTTTTTGCATAAATCCATTGATTTAGTTGCTCAGAAGCAGATTCCTCCGGTTTCGATTCTGTTAGCGCAGACGTCACTTCATACATGTCAAGAGCAGAGACAATTTGTTCATGCCATCCCTTAAAATTCTTTCCACCAAAAACTTCCACTGTTGAAATATCAGGGAAGTATTTGGTAAAGTTGTGCGAAGGCACAGTAGGGACAACACCATGAGATGTTTGAGCAGCAATGGTGGTATTATCAGTAACAATAGCAGGTGAATCGTTTCCGTGAACCATGTTAACCGAAATATCCTTAAAATTATTGTAAAACTATAGGAAATCACGGAAATCACGTAGCTTGAGGCGTGCCTATGGCACTGTCCTTAAGGATATATCACCGGTTAGGGTGTATCCCCAGAATTCAACAAGCTCTTCTAGTACTAAAACTAGGAGCCAAAATCTAACAAAGAATATATTTTACTTAAGAAAACCCAGCAAATAAATAAGGAAGAAAAGTTATTTTAATGTAATATCTCATTCTCTTCTTTTCAACACACAAAAGTACTATATATAGATATATAGGTATATGGTAAAGAGCATACCATCAGCCGTGCATTAAGAGTTAAGACCAAATAATTGTCATAAAGGCTATATATTATTACCAAATATTCCAATGGACCTTTTGTAACACCCAAATCAATAGTAGTTGATTAATGCCATAAAGGCAATTATAACAACTGCCATAATAAGAAAACAAACGGTTGGCTAGCTACAAGATTAAAAACCTTAATATAATATTAATAAGCTAAGTTATTAAGGTAATAATATGTAATTAATAATTTCAAATATTATTCTTATACTTTTTAAGATAATATAGATATTTTATCAATATTTACTACTCATTATCTTCTTATTCATTGCAAGGAAGATTTCCTCCCCTATAAATAGTGATGATCTTCTCTGTGTTGTATACAACAAGAGATTGCCAAGAAAATATAGAGTGTAAATTATGAGTAGTATTGTATTGAGTTGATTGAGTTGTATGACGTTTGTTGGGATGTTGTATCCTGAAGGGGACAAGTCAAGAGTGATATTGTTGAATTTGTGTAGATTATGTTATAGTGAGCTTAAATCTCCTTAAAATTATTGGTATTATATACCACAAAAATAATAAATTATAGTTGAAAAATTATAAATGACAAAAAATGAATAAATAATAATTTAGGCTAAGAGCTAGGTATCCGAGCCTCAACCAGAATAAATTTTTATTTTCTTCATTTTATTTTCAATTGTAATTTGTAATCTTGTTATTTTCACCAATAAAAAGTTATGGTATGTAAATATCTTTGTTATAGTTTGATGATGTCTATACCCACTTATTCATTTACTAGTTCATGTTGGACAGATTGGGCACGCGCATAGCACGGACTTCCCTTGCTAGTAAGGAAACACAAAATTTTACCGTGGTAATTTCTTTGCTCAGGAGTAAAAATCACGACCTGCCCTCATAGGATTTGCCTAAAAAACTCCACCAAACTCAAGTGATGTTTAGTTTACAATTCTAAAACCCAAAGAGACTAATTCTAGTATGTACCATTTATACTGCAACAAAAACAATTTT